TGGACGTTATACAGAGATTGTGTGGCTGGGGTATACTGTGATTGTGTGGACGTTATACAGAGATTGTGTGGCTGGGGTATACTGTGATTGTGTGGACGCTAAACAGAGATTGTGTGGCAGGGGTATACTGTGATTGAGTGGATGTTGTACAAAGATTATGTGGCTGGGGTATACTGTTATTGTGGGGATGTTATACAGAGATTGTGTGGATGTTATACAGAGATTGTGTGGATGTTATACAAAGATTGTGTGGATGTTATACAGAGATTGTGTGGATGTTATACAGAGATTGTGTGGATGTTTTACAGAGATTGTGTGGATGTTATACAGAGACTGTAAGGATGTTATACAGAGATTGTGTGGATGTTTTACAGAGATTGTGTGGATGTTATACAGAGATTGTGTGGCTGGGGTATACTGTGATTGTTTGGGTGTTATACATTCACCTGAGGTGATAGAAAAGAGTTTTACCTGAGGTGAACAGAGAAGTGTTTATCTGAATTGACAGAGAGGTATTTTACCTGAGGTGATAGAAAAGTTTTACATGAGGTGACAGAGAAGTGTTTTAGCTGAGGTAAACAGAGAAGTGTTTTACCTGAGGTGACAGGGAGGTTTTTTATCTGAGGTGAACAGAGAAGTGTTTTTTCTGAGGTGATAGAAAAGTGTTTTACCTGAGGTGTTAGGAAAAGAGTTTTACCTGAGGTGATAGAAAAAAGAGTTTTACCTGAGGTGAACAGAGAGGTGTTTTACCTGAGGTGACATAGAGGTGTTTTACCTGAGGTGATAGAAAAGAGTTTTACCTGAGGTGATAGAAAAGAGTTTTACCTAAAGTGATAGAAAAGAGTTTTACCTGAGGTGAACAGAGAAGTGTTTATCTGAGGTGACAGAGAGGTGTTTTACCTGAGGTGATAGAAAAGTTTTACCTGAGGTGACAGAAAAGTGTTTTACCTGAGGTGACAGGGAGGTGTTTTATCTGAGGGGATAGAAAAGTGTTTTACCTGAGCTGATAGAAAAGTGTTTTACCTAAGGTGATAGAAAAGAGTTTTACCTAAGGTGATAGAAAAGAGTTTTACCTGAAGTAATAGAAAAGAGTTTTATCTGAGGTGAACAGAGAAGTGTTTTATCTGAGGTGACAGGGAGGTGTTTTAGCTGAGGTGAACAGAGAAGTGTTTTACTTGAGGTGACAGAGAAGTGTTTTACCTGAGGTGATAGAAAAGTTTCATCTGAGGTGTTAGAGAAGTGTTTTAGCTGAGGTGAACAGAGAAGTGTTTTACCTGAGATGACAAGGAGACAAGGAGGTGTTTTATCTGAGGTGATAGAAAAGTGTTACCTGAGCTGATAAAAAAGTGTTTTACCTGAGGCGATAGAAAAGAGTTTTACCTGAAGCGATAGAAAAGAGTTTTACCTAAAGTGATAGAAAAGTGTTTTACCTGAGGTGACAGAAAAGTGTTTAATCTGAGGTGACAGAGAAGTGTTTTACCTGAGGTGACAGCTGCCACTCCTGGCTTAGAATCTGAGATCTGGTTCTGGGCCCAACAGCCAGCTCCATAGATACCTGCCTAGGAAGGAGAAACCTGAGTGAGAACAATGACAGGTAGTCTGCTCACAGGTACTTCTCAGGGGTCAAACACTGGTTTCCCTCATAAACACCAGGTCCTGACTACAGGCTTAGCACCTCAGAGACCTGTCCATGTTCCTGTCTACAGGCTCAGCCCCTGTCCACTGATGATGAGAGAGAGACTCTTCTCCTTGACAAAGGTGAAATACTGCCATTGCTTTCTTGAGTTCATGACTGACCAACATGTATTTACCTGCAATTCACCAGGACAACAGAAAACATTCTCAAACACACATGATGGCCTGTCAGACAAATGTTGGTGATGGCCTGTCAGACAAATGTTGGTGATGGCTTGTCAGACAAATGTTGGTGATGGCCTGTCAGACAAATGTTGGTGATCACCTGTCAGACAAATGTTGGTGATGGCCTGTCAGACAAATGTTGGTGATGGCCTGTCAGACAAATGTTGGTGATGGCCTGTCAGACAAATGTTGGTGATCGCCTGTCAGACAAATGTTGGTGATGGCCTGTCAGACAAATGTTGGTGATCGCCTGTCAGACAAATGTTGGTGATGGCCTGTCAGACAAATGTTGGTGATGGCCTGTCAGATAAATGTTGGTGACGGCCTGTCAGACAAATGTTGGTGATCGCCTGTTAGACAAATGTTGGTGATGGCCTGTCAGACAAATGTTGGTGATGGCCTGTCAGATAAATGTTGGTGACGGCCTGTCAGACAAATGTTGGTGATGGCCTGTCAGATAAATGTTGGTGATGGCCTGTCAGACAAATGTTGGTGATGGCCTGTCAGACAAATGTTGGTGATGGCCTGTCAGATAAATGTTGGTGACGGCCTGTCAGACAAATGTTGGTGATGGCCTGTCAGATAAATGTTGGTGACGGCCTGTCAGACAAATGTTGGTGATGGCCTGTCAGATAAATGTTGGTGACGGCCTGTCAGATAAATGTTGGTGATGGCCTGTCAGACAAATGTTGGTGATGGCCTGTCCGATAAATGTTGGTGATGGCCTGTCAGATAAATGTTGGTGATGGCCTGTCAGACAAATGTTGGTGATGGCCTGTCAGACAAATGTTCGTGATGGCCTGTCAGACAAATGTTCGTGATGGCCTGTCAGATAAATGTTGGTGATGGCCTGTCAGATAAATGTTGGTGATGGCCTGTCAGATAAATGTTGGTGACGGCCTGTCAGACAAATGTTGGTGATGGCCTGTCAGACAAATGTTGGTGATGGCCTGTCAGATAAATGTTGGTGATGGCCTGTCAGATAAATGTTGGTGATGGCTCATCGAGCAAATGCCCATCTGCCCCTAAATGAGGATTTATATTTGACCATCCATTAGTTAGTGCACAAAAGTCACGGGTCTAGTGTCAGCTAACAATCTCCACACAGGTCACAGTTTTCTTCCAGAATTGCTCTCAGTCCATGGCTGTGTGTTTGTTCTCAGTCCATGGCTGTGTGTTTGTTCTCAGTCCATGGCTGTGTGTTTGTTCTCAGTCCATGGCTGTGTGTTTGTTCTCAGTCCATGGCTGTGTGTTTGTTCTCAGTCCATGGCTGTGTGTTTGTTCTCAGTCCATGGCTGTGTGTTTGTTCTCAGTCCATGGCTCAGTCCATGGTTGTGTGTTTGTTCTCAGTCCATGGCTGTGTGTTTGTTCTCAGTCCATGGCTCAGTCCATGGTTGTGTGTTTGTTCTCAGTCCATGGCTGTGTGTTTGTTCTCAGTCCATGGCTGTGTGTTTGTTCTCAGTCCATGGCTGTGTGTTTGTTCTCAGTCCATGGCTGTGTGTTTGTTCTCAGTCCATGGCTGTGTGTTTGTTCTCAGTCCATGGCTGTGTGTTTGTTCTCAGTCCATGGCTGTGTGTTTGTTCTCAGTCCATGGCTGTGTGT